CCCCGACAGAGATGTTAAACAAGACTTCTTTCAATCGAGTTTATTTGCTGTTGAAAGACTCCTCCTAAGTTAGAATGGGAAAATGAGGGATAAGAATGCTCACTAGAAGATATCTGTGCAAAGCACTATTTCAGTCAATTTCATCAGCATAGCATGCTGTATATTATTCCTTCTCCACATACTGATCTTCCACATTCAACAGATTATAATTAAATCCACTTTACAAGATTATAATTAAATCCACTTTACAAGATTTTTTTTTTTTTTAAGTAGCAACTCCCTTCAGTGTCATTTTTCTCCTCACACATGAGATTGATATACTTCAAAAAATGCATTAGCAGCTTGGCAAGCTGATAGAGCTCAAAGCAAATTTCTTCTATAAAACTGTTGAGGAAGAGAAAAAATTCACTTGCAAGAGATTTCAGCCAGATTCTGTAATGAGTGTTCTTTACTGTTAATTTAATCAAGCTAGATGTAAAGCTTAACAGCTGAATAAAAAGGATGATGAGCATTGTCCCAGCATGATACAAATACTATCCTTTATTTGCTTCTCCCTGCACCCTCTTTTTCATCTTTGGAAAGAAACAACTTGCAAAATACAAGTTACTATTAGAATCTAATCTTAGTATTAATCTGTAATTAATACTAAGTGCATGCAAAGTCATTCCATTGAGCAAAGGCTAAAATATTAAAAAAAAATCAAGATGCTTTTAAGTTCCACTATTTTTCTCTCTTTTTTAACATGATTTTTTTCATACTCTTTCCATGTTCTCCTTTTCCATACCTGCCTTCTGTGAAATCCCTGCTTTCAGAGGAAAAGGGTCTATGACCTGTTGTGCAGATGCTGTTGATCAGACTGTGAATGTTTTATTGAATTCCTGTATTGAAGCACATTTCTTGAGATCTCAGTTTTAACAGTCTATACCTGCCTGGAACTGTATTTTTCTATTACTCTCTGAATTCAGGCCTTACACGTGATGTAACAGCATGAAGATGCCTGCTTCTCTTGTTTCCTAAAATTTCTTAACTGTTAAGTTTCATGGTGGACTTTTGCTGAAGCAAAGTACACCTTTGTGTCCATTGTTCATCAGTATTTTTGTCAGAGATAATGTTTGGGGACTGTGTACTTCTACAAACACCTCAGAAAAAATCTGGAAACACAAATCTGTATTCAAGCAGAAGTTTAGCATGCACTGTAAGTCATACATATAAATAAATAATAAGAAAGTTATAATAAAGGAACCTATTGGCAATTCTGAAACTTGCAAGTAATCCCAATGTGTTATCAGTGAGCACAGGAAAAATTTTTAAGTTACTTTTCTCTAGAATTCCACAGTCAAACCATTAGTGTTTTAAATACTATGCATTTGGTTGATATGGCTTTTTAGGAAATAATTCTAGAGGAAAACATTACTTATTTTCCACTGGATTTCTTTACCGGGTTGTTCAAGCCTCAGTATTTTTTATTCAGTTTCTCCTTTCTCTACCCTTTTCTGAAAGGCAGTAACTGTAAATGTCTCATGTCAGTTCCAGGGCCTTGTGAACCTGAAGACCTCATTGATGGAATCATCTTTGCAGCCAATTACCTGGGCTCTACACAGCTGCTCTCTGAGCGCAACCCTTCCAAAAACATAAGAATGATGCAAGCCCAAGAGGCAGTGAGCCGTGTTAAGGTAGGAGGTTTTTATGGTTTGTAGAATACTCTCTGATCCTTCAACAGTTATCTCTGAACAGTACAGGATCTTCAGCTCAAACTGACTGTGAAGTGCCCCTATGTGAGTATAGATCGAGTACTGTAAATGCCATTAGTTTCCAGTGCTTATTACAAAAATACATGCAGCTTCTTTGAGGAACAAAGCATAACTTATTACAGAGTCTTTTTAAAATTGTTTGGAAACTGTATGAAGAACTCAATTATTAAGGACAAATTGCAGGCTGCAATTAGGAAATACTCCAACAGCAAAGCATAGGATAGTTGTTTTACTGTGTTTTTTCTTTTATGTTATTAATTCCTTTAACTTACTTCAAATTGTGAAGACTACTCTCAATTCATTGAGCGATTACTTTTTGTACGACAAGAAGACCCATTACTGTTGTGTTTGTATTTAATGTTATTTATAGAGAGTAATTTCTCTGTAAATAATGTAGCATGGACTGCTTCATACAGCTGTGTAAAAAAAATGCCTTTTTTGATTAATAATCCCTTTCTTTTACAGTTCTTGTGAGTCTGCTGTAAAAACCTCATCTGAATAAAAAAGTGGTTAGAAAGAGGTAGATTTAAATGCCAACAGAAAAATTATGTGCTTAGTCAATAACATTTAACTGGTAAAAATTGCGTGTTTGTGAAGGAAACCAGTTTGGGAAAATCATTTACCTAGCAAGAGGCTGCCATGACTGATTAGCACATGGAAGACAAGAAAGGCCCAATTCTTTAAGCTTTCCAAACCTTTGAATTTCTATTTCATGTATTGCTATGTCAGAAGCAGGAAGTAATTGTTGATTGCAATTAAATTCCTAAAAACTGTTCTGTGTGTTAATAGCAATCCTAATCTCTCAGGGACACATGACTACTTAAAATAGTCATGGAAGAGAGCTTAAGTGACATTTTGTTCAACAGTTACATGTAGAGGTTTGATTAATACGGATAGAAAACCTTGAGTTTAAAGTAGTGCATGTACTGTCATTTTAAACTGCTGTATATGTAGCAGGATAAATGTTATGAGCAGCTGTTAACAGACAACACTCTCTGGTACCAGTTTTTTTTTGTAATCAGGCAACATGCATAATGCCATTAAATCCAGTTATGCTTGAGGAACTGCATAAGATATAAACAAATCTTTCTGTCTTGCACATCTTTCTCCCACTGCCCCCAAATTTTTGACTTTTAACAGTCGATTCATAGTCAAAAGGTTTCCCTGACTGCCCACACTGTATTTTCTCTTTCTTTGTGTGTACATCTGTCTGCATTCTTTTTTTATGCTACTCCTCAGAGGATGCAAAAGGCGGCTAAAATCAAGAAAAAAGCGGTGTGTAAACTGTTTTTCTTGAATGCTAATGTTTACTTACATTTTTGTTGTACTTGTTCTCCATGGAGTGTTGTTGTCCTTTCATTTTGGGTCCTCATAAAGTTGTCATTTTGCTTTCTTCTTTGCTAAGTAGTAGAACACTGGATGGAGTAAATGAACTCATTTTCTTCATTGTTCATTTTCTGGAGTGCCTGTCTGCTGCTCTTCTTCTGCTGAATACCTGTGATTTGCTTAGTCCAGATATACAGCCAGTGTTATCCAGGAGATTTTTTTTTTTTCTTCTTATATAACGCTTATTTTTATTTTGCTAACCAAAGCAGTAAGATGTATTTCCTGTGCCTGTGACTTACTGTAGATTTATGAAATTATTGCCATTATTTTAAAACAAAATAAATTACCGGGTAGTAGCTGGAACAAGTATAGGAGACGTTTCACTCCGTTAAAAACTATACTTCAGGTAACTAAATACAGCTGACAAAAATACCACTAAATTTCATCTTGCTCTTTGTGATGGTCTTAAATGAAAGCAATGCAAGTAATCTCTGCCAAAGCATACACTTGCTTTGTTTGGTATTTTCATTTTTGATGAATGAGCCAATTCAAATAAAAATTACTCTGAATCAATTATAGGCTTAGCTAAGCCTTTATAACTACTAACTATTCTAACTATAACAAATACATCATTCCATGCACTGTTTCATCAAAGAACAAGTTTCTGACCTGGAGACTGATGCCTGCCCTTAGCACAGGGTGATACAGTCTGTGGCCATTTCATTCTGAGGGTGCTAATGTGGGTGCTACACACCAGTTGCAATAGTGCACTGTGGACAAGTAGCCTGGAGGAATAAATAGGTTCCTCCTGGAAGTCAAGAGTATTAGGTAAGCTCTTGGATCATGCTCCAGTGAGAGGCAGCAGCTGCTTTGACACTTTCTCTCCTGTCACGTGGGCAGAGCCAGGACTCACACTTAGGAAAGCGTGTGGCATTACGCTCTAATCCCACTTGCTCTGTGACCATGTTTTCTAATGGAATGTGGAACTACTTCCCTACTGAGCAGTGCTCAGATGTTGAGGTCTGAAAGGCAACTGATGGCTTTCTGTGATATGAGAGAAGTATCTGTTCAGTGCTCAGTTCTTTATTTTCTAGGGGAAAAAAAATAACTAAAAAAAGCTAAAAGAACCCTAAAACCCACCACAGTACTGAGCACCAGCTTGCATTTCTTTTGGTGAGCTCACTGAAGATAGCAAGGGCTAAGCAGCTGCTGGGAAGTAAATCACTTTCTCAGTCTGGGGCCTTGAGTGCCGGAGTGTATCAATGAGACAGTGGGGAAGAATCAGCCATACTTTTTCTCCTCCTCTAGGAGAATTTTGGTACTTGAGCTGTTAGTCCCATGTGCTCTGAAAATTTACTCTTACCCACAAAATCTGAGGATGTTTCACTCTTCCTGTGCAATTAATGGATTTTTTGCATGTATTTAGAAACACCTTTGAATAGCCATCTTTGTAGTGGTTTAACAGTTCAGTTGCCTCACCTCACATTATGCTTGAAGTGATCAGTGAATCCATCATTCTTAAGAGGAAATGAAACTTCACTTTGTAACAAAGCATCTGTCTTTTAGACCTCAGAGGGAGATTCCCAGGCCTTGACTGAAGTGGATCTGTTCATCTCCACACAGAGAATCAAAGTTTTAAATGCAGACACACAGGTAAGTCATGATTAAAGTCTTGAAGAATAATGTTGAGTTAGATTGCACTCTTATACTGTTAGTTGGAAACTTAACTAAATTTGGATAAAATCACCAATATGAGAATATTCAGAAAGAGCCATGTTAGATCTGCTATTATTATAACACTTGCCTTTTGCCAATACAGTAATACTGACACCAGTTTTGCTTATTTGATGTATTAGAAAATGTCTTCATGTTGCTGAGATCTATAATTCAGTTTAGGAAAAGATTCAGAAGTCTTTCAGGATGGGTGTATGCTGTTTCTCTGAAAAAGTTTCAGTATCCAGATCTATAGTCTAACAGGGAATTAATTTCCTACTTTGACTAAGCTATTCATATCTTGCCATTTTTAACATTCAACCTCCAATTTTTCCATAAATCACATCTGAGCTACGATCCTTTTTGCCTAATGTAAACTATTAATTATTCATATTAAAGAAGCATCTGGAGACCACAGAAATGATCAGCCTCATCTTCTAGGAATACATACATATATTCACTAAGAGGCAATCTTCATAAGAAGGATTATTTTAAAAGAATTTACAATTAAATACATATAACTTATACATAGATCACAATATTTATTATAAGAATCTCACAAGATCTCTTAGACTTCTATCACACTTGCAGAAAGTCTTCAAATTTTCATTCTTATGAGAGACTTTCAAAAGGGAAATTGTAACATTTTTTGCTTTAGTTTTCACTAAAAATATGCACTGTATGCAGCCAACAGCAGTTGAAAAATGGTAGGACCTCAAGTTACATTAAAGAACAAACCATTTAGAAAGTACTTAGTTAAGCTAGATATAGCCAAACCAGAAAATTCATCTTGTAGTATTTGGAGAAGTGGTTGGAGTGATCTTATGCTATCCTTTCAATGATGCTCCTCCAGAACTCATGAAGGTAATATTTAGTCTTTCTTTTTTTTAGTAGCAGAACAGACCAAGGATTATAGGTAAGTTTAATTGTCAAAAAGATAGCAAACCAAACAAACCCTTTGTACACAGTTTGTGAGTAGAGATGAGCAAGAGTCAGCACAGATTTGTCAAGAGTAAATCATGTCAAATCAATCAGGTTTTTTTCTGACCGGGAATATGTTTGTTCATAGCGCAGAAGCAGCACACATCACCTATTGACTTAAATAAAGCTTTTATCTCATACAGTATTTTCTAGATTATATGATCTAGCTACAGGAGATACAAGCAGGCTGAGAAAATGATTGTACTTATTTCTTATCTATTGCCATATAGATGGCAATATAAAGAGATAAAGAGCAGAGGGAGACTCACAAGCATGAGTCTTTCATGTAGTGCTGTTCAATATTTTTATAAACAACTTGAAAGGTGAAAAGAGAAAATGGTTATTGAACTTGTATCTTGGTGTATAAATCACAATCGAGAAATATCATGAGCAGCAGTATTTGCAATCTGTCATCAATAAATCATGCTGATACTGCATGTCATCCGTGATAACCAATACCACTATTTGTTATGGATTAGCTTTTTTTGGACCTCATGGTAAACGTGCATCATCCGGAGAGTATATTATCAAAGCTTATGACTACTTTTTGGATTAGCAGAAATTAGAACTCTAGTAATTATCAGTGTAAAGATGACTACAGACCATTGTTGATAATAGTTTACAGTTGGAATGTGTGGGAGTAAATAGGTAAGTTGTCTTTGTTGAGTCTTAGTGGAAGTCATTCTTTCCCTTCTTTAAACAGTTCAGAATCTCAGCTAACACCCACTCTTTCTAAAAAGAAAAAAGGAAAGTCCTTTGAGGCAGACCATAAACAACTTGTCAAAGGAACCATTATTCTCCCGATTCCCTTGAGATTTCTAGTGATATAAAATGCAATGCACCATGAGGAATGGTGTCTTATATGAGTTAACTACATGAAAATAGCAATATTGGAAATTATTATAATGACAAGCTTTCTGGCGTTTGTCCTGTTTTTTTTTTTTTTTTCTTTCTTGTTTTTTACAGTGGGTCTTTCAGAGAGCTCTAATTGACTTACTCCCCTGCATTTTTAGCATTGCTATCAGAATGCTTTTGCAGTTTTGACTTGGTAGTATTTTTTAGTGCTAAGCGAAGTTTCCCAACTGGTCTAATTACCATAGGACTGGTTCAGCTGGTGTAGCAGCTGGCAGAGACAATCTGTTCTTTCATGGCTTTATCAATTATATAAAACCTATTTCTGCAGCGTGTCATCCATGTTTTAATCCATCTGTAGTGTTGTATAGTACACATGAGGCAGCAGCTGATTTAAAATGTAAAATTCTCAAGTTAAAAAATGAGATGCAGCAGGGTTCAAAATGCTGAATAGCACCAGTAACATGTATTATCATGTTGGAAAAGAGCCAGCTCTGGTGATTCAGTTGCCCTCAGCAACACTAGGAAATGGCACCCCTGCCACTTCTTACTTGCTTTTGCGTTTAGTTACTGAATACATTCAGCCCAAGTTGACCACTTGTTTAGTATAGGTTGTAGAAGCAACCTTAGCTTTGGCCATACGCCTGCTTTGCACGAGAGCAGCTCTTCCCTGTGCTGCAGCTTTACTTGCCCATCTTCCCGCTCATTCTGTGAAGAGAAGCAACTGGGAAAACTAGCAGAGAAAAACAGATACAGAGGTCACAAATGTTTATGTGCAGAGCTTCTGGCAGATGATTGGTTCCATAAAACCGTCAGACTCATCAGGCTGTCTAATCCACACTCCCACAGGACTACCTCACTTGAAAGCCTGGGAAAGTGCTTGGTGTTTCCTCCTTCAGGTGCTATTTGGTTTCAGAATGGACAAATAATGAGATTCTAAAAGAATTCATTAGAAAGGAGGGTGATTCTGAGAAAGGACAGTCTGGACAAGAGAAGGTAGAACACAGGTTTTGAAAAAGGCCAAGAGAGGATGAATTTCTAAAGACAAAAGAAATAACAAGGGTGGAATGGATGGAACTAGAAAAGGGATGAGGGAAAGAAGTGGAAGGGATTCATGGAAAAGTAACAAAGGAGGAGAAAGGGTGAACATTAGATAGTGCTAATGAAAAATAAAGTGGCATGGAAGATGGAGTGAGAAAGGAAAAAGTCAAGTCACAAGTCAAAAATAAAGACATTTACAGTCACTGTATATTGTTTGTCTTATTCCTAACTGTATTTGCATTAGACAGGAAGAAGGTGGGAGGGAGTGAGGGAATGACTGCTTTCACCCCTACAAGGGGAAAATAAAAAAAAAATCACACCTTTAAGTAACGTCTGTGTGATGATAGGCACAGAAAGACTTTATTGGCCGGCAGAGTTAAATGCATTCATCTTCCCAGTCCTTTCACTCTTGTGTACACTGCATGCATGATTACACGCTTACAGAATACTTAGTGCAGACTGCTGAAAAGCAATTATCTCTGCAGAGCTCCCAAGATCCTGCTGAGAGATACACCTTATAAAACATTTTTCCATACTGAAAGAAGTGCTGTAAATCCTCCTGAGCCCCTGCAACCCTTAGGGACACACCCCAAACCATCTCTTAACCGTCATCACTTTTCATAGTTTATGATAGATTTCATTTCAAGACCATGAAGAATCATTACAAAAATTTTATGGGTAGTAATTCTCCTCTGTATGACAGGTAGTTCTAAGAAACATTGATTATCTGCAGTTTTATCTTTCAACTCAAATTGTACTGAAATTCTTAATTACTCTTATCGATTTGAGGAACAGTCTTGCTCTCTTAGGCCTTAGAAATTAGTTCAACTAATTGTAAACTAGAGCCTAGCTGTTTATATAAAGTATGCGACAGCTTATATAAATTATGAAAATCATGTATTATTTCATAGTAAATTACAAGGTTTTTTTAAGATCAGACATCAAGGGAAAGACTACAGACACAGCAAGGAGGGTAACTCAGTCATCTAATATGATTGAATTAGATGAAAACTAACTTCATGCTGCTCAGTAGGATATCATCAAGAAGCACAATCAAGTAATTTTAAAAAACCCACAAAAACCCCAAAAGGCCTTCTTAGTTAAAAAAACAAACAAACAAAACCTGCACCCTATAGCTACAAAACAAACAACAAACCTGTAGTCCATTTTTCTTCATTCACGTTAGAAATACACACATACATACCCAAGCAGATGCCAAAACCAGCAGAGACAATCTCAGTCTTGGGCAAGTAACAAAGATGTTTTAGATAGCAGAAAGCAGTTTCCTGACTTGAAACTAACAGAGATCACAAAGTTAAGTGCAACAAATTGATTAAATAATAAGTTGCGTTTTTTTTAATTCCACTACAGGCAGACTTTGGTGGATGTGTTCAGCTATTTGGTGGTGGAGGGAGGGGTGGGACAGGGACATTCTCAGCTAGTTTCATCAATAAAACTAGTATGCTTCTGGTTGTTTCCAGTTTGAGCAATAAATAGAAGTCTGGAAAAACCTTCCAAACTTACCAGTGGCCTTAGCAAGAAGGAATTTTAAGATTGGCCCTTCCTGCTTCTTGAAGAGGACAGTTCATCTCTACAATGGCAAAATATGTAAAGAAATTGCAGAAAACAAAGCTAACAAAGCATGGTTTGGAGGCAATTTGTCTTTGTTTCAATAGAAAGCTTTATCTTCATTAAAATAAGTACTTAGCATTAAGAAACCTATAAATCTCAGGTTTGAAATGTCCCATAAAAATAGGTGTTGGACTGTTTTTTGCCTTAAAACAAGGATATTGAACCAGTGGCAACAGACTCGTTTCAGTACTGCACACTAGCCATGTCTGAGAGCTGGATTAATTACCTTGGCAGCCTGCTATTGAAATTACCTCTCGTGAGCCTCCTGCAGTCTCCTCTTGCCACAGAGGAAGCGCCCACGTCTGGTGACAGCACACAGGCTTTGTACTCACAAGATGGCAGAGTCTGGCTTTGTACCAAACTGAGAAGGAGCAAAGGCTGACTGCCTCAATACAGAGGACGAGCACCTCAAGCCAGATGGTGATATGTGGGGAGTAGGTGGGTGAGGAGGGACAGCACAGCGAAATAGTGAAGAACGACATACAGTCCTTGACTGTCTCCTCAGAAATATAAGTCATCACTGCCTTAAGGTATCATTTTATGTCTTCAGTGAGTCCTTATAGCTAGGAGGCTTTTTCTGATATTTTGTTGAAGTTGACAAAATATCTGCCAGATAAGCATTACTAACATAAGTTATTACTAACTCTTTCTTTCCTAGGAATTTCTCATCCTTTGTAATTATACACAGACTGCAGTAATAGTGACATTTTTCAAGGCACTTAAAGGAAGTGCATTCAGTCAGATTACTTGATTGCATGAACATTCCTAAAACTCATTTTAAACCTAAAACGTTCTTAATGTTATGGAGCATCTTCCATAGCAACACACCTTTCTAGGAACTTCGAGAAGTTGCAGTTTTTTATTTGTTTTTAAAACAAAACAAAAACCCCAAATCAATCAACAAAAAAAACTAACAGAGAAATCAGGTTGCTTATATAGTATCTTGAATAAAACCTGTACAAAGGTACAAATAATTGTCTAAAACATTAGTGTAAACAAGTATATGTCTGTCTTTGCAGTCCTAAATATACCTAAATCCTTTGAAATTATCACTATAGCAATGTCACATACATTGTATTATTAAAATAACATTATTTTACATATAAAAACCTTTTAACAAAAATTAGGCAGCTAGCTATTGAGTCACATTAATTTATTCATATTTAATGCTGAGTTCAGAAATCATAAAGCTTACAAGTTCATTCTTGATGATACACAAAAACTGTTATAGTGTCCTTGATGGTTCTTCCTTCCTTACTGCTCAACTCAAAAGGTGTCATTGCTCTTTTATGTAAGAAACAATTGATAGAAGCATGAACTAGAGATGGGAACAAAAGATAAAACAGTAATATCTGAAATAAAACAAGCGTAGTGATAACACATCCTTCTCTGACTACAGATACGCACTCCGTTTACACTTGTCCAAGGCATTTCAGTGCCACTCAGTAAAATAGGTTCCTGTGAGAAAAACCATATGGGAGGTAGGATATCAGCAGTAGGTTGGGATTTTGCTGCTAATAGCAGAAAGTAAAATAAGAGTTTAAAAGGCTAAAGTAATTAAAAGGATGCAGAGCTCAGGTGTTTGAGGTAGAGACTTTTCATATTTAGTTGAGACTTACATTTAGTACTCTTTGTGTGTTCTCACATAAGAAATGTCCATTAGGATGAAGCTTGGATGGGTTTCCACTTAAAATATTCTAACAGGCAATGTCTCTTCTGTACAACCAAACTGGCGGCCTAATGATATTGACTGGAATAGGATTTATCTGGACTGTTAGCCCAGACATTAGACCAGTTCCCTCCAAACTGATCTGAGATACCTACACAGCCAAAAAAAAGTATTTAAAAGTCTGCCTACAGAGAAGGTGAAATACTGCCTTCATAGCTCTTGACAAAGAAAGCATTGCTTTGTAGTATATGAGCAAATATCACCGTAGATATTATTGCTATTACAGGACATGAGTTTTAAAACCCCTGGGAAATGATCTTCTCATGTGACTTCCCTAAAACTTGTTCTGTCATTGTGAAATGCATCTTCTTCCTTCAGAAAAACCAATACAAAAAGGAAAGATAATTTTCCAACAGAATGAAAATGTTTATCTAACAGTAGTCTAGATCTTCATTATGGCTTTCCAGTAGCAACCACCTTTTATTTGCTCAGGCAACACTTCCAGTGAAACTGATTTCTTGAAGAGCCGCTATGCCTTCAGTTGGAGTTCGGGCCCATTGACTGTGTAAGGAATGCCAGATCTGGGCCCATAGAAAAGGCGTCTGTAGCTTTTGTCATTCTCAAGCAATAGGCCATCAAGGAGAGGGAAGATGCAGCATTTGTAGAGTAATAGCAGGCATGAAGAATTACTTTATATCTCTTTGCTTTCTGTAGGAAACGATGATGGATCATGCGCTGCGCACAATCTCCTATATTGCCGATATTGGTAACATTGTGGTTTTAATGGCGCGACGCCGCATGCCAAGATCAGCTTCTCAAGACTGTATTGAAACAACACCTGGTGCCCAAGAAGGAAAGAAGCAGTACAAAATGATATGCCATGTCTTTGAATCAGAGGATGTAAGTAAATGGAATTAAATTTATTTAAACAATGAATGTTATTTAGAGGATCTCTGAAATTGCATCTAATTTCTTGAATGAATTTTTGTTTTCAGTAATCTTTTCTGATTGAAACTACTGGTAATTTGTGGAAACATTAGCCAATTGTTTGTCTATATTTACCTCTCTTTTCTATCTCCACAAATCCATGTTGAAAATTCATGTCTCCTACTCCGTCCCAAAATATCCACTCTTTGTCTCATGTGTTACAGAATAATCTGTGTTCTTTCAACAGTGCTCCCCTTATTTGAAGTTGTCTGGAAGTTGATGGCTGTTCATGGCCAAAATTTTTATGGGCTGTCAAACTGATCATTCACCCTGGACTGGATCCTTTAGTCCATCAGGTTGGCACATAATGACACACCTATGCCCCCAGACTCTTGACAATGAGGTGGAACCATTCTGGACCTCTTCCAAACTGAAGCCAAGTTGCCAAGAACATCTACCAACTTGGTGGGCCTGGCACAAGGTTCTTATTCCCCTATGGCTGGCTTACCTGTAGTAGGCATAGGCACTGTCAAACATACGACTTGATCCTTTGATGTTTAAGAACACATTCAATTGTTTATTTTTCAGTTATCTTTTTTCATCCCCAGTGAAGATTATGAATTAGAATTTTTATATAAAACCAAGAGAGCTAAGAAAGATTAATTCTCTATAGTAATTTTAATTCATGGCCAAAAGGGTTTAGCAATTCATAAGTAAAAGGCTAGGGAGAACTCACTACTTTCTCAGAACATCTATACAGAAAGCATAATTTCAGTCACTTTATGCCATAAGATACTCTGTGATCCAATACCATGTTAGCCCTACACCATTTTTTGTTAAAATTCCATTTAAAAAAGGAGTGACTAACTTTGGAACTTGGTTCCAATTTTTTACTTGGGGTCATTCTCAAAATACCATGGCAGAAATAGCAGTTGCAAAAGAGTTGTGTACATTTGTGCTGCATCCTGTTTCACCCCTGTGGAAAGTGCTGGCATGCCATGCCCTTACCTCTTGTGGCCAAGAAAGATAACCTTGTTTTACTGGTACTGTACCTCCAGATTTGGTTTTGTAGTGAAATAGACCCTTGTGTCTGAAGTGGCAGACCAGGGGACTTCAACCAAAGACATTTATAGAAAAAAAAAAAACAAGCTAGTTGAAGAGAAAAAGCAAAATATGAGGTCCGTTTCTAACTTGGTATTTGAGATACAGGAATTAATGAGAGGCAGTATTAAAGATTTCTGACCATCATTATATAGGAACAGCTTTAAACAGTATTTCTGTCATCCTAATTAAAAAAGAATCAAGTTCTTCAGTTGGGACAGTCAAAACTCATAGGTTGCATATTTTTTGAGCTAAGCAATCATTTCCATTATCATAAAGCAATTAAGCCTGTGAAGGAGAAATGGCATTATCTAAAGTTTAGAGTGCTAAACTCAGACCTAGTTATATCAGTTCTGCCGCTGCTTTGGTGGGGTGACCTTTTGAAGCAACTTAATTACATTATCTCAAAGCTGTACATTATGCTAAAGATTTTCATAAATATTCATAAAAACTTGGATCTATAGATGAAAAAAGAAATTAAGATGTGATAACAGGCTGTTACTAGCATTGATAGAATAGAATATGACATGTAGACACATTGCTTTTGACAAAGCAGAATGGAGGTGAAAGCAAAGGACTGTACCAGGGAAGCAATGGCACTGGAGAACAAAACAAGAAGTTCTCAATGACTTCTGTCATTGTACTGCTGCAGACCTCTTGGTATATTGATAGGATTTGAAAAGATGTTTTAAAATATGAAGGAATGATCTGTCACTGGCGAGGCTAATTATGTCCTCAATTTCCTAAAACACTTTTCCAGTCAAGCAGATTAGTGCTTCTGTGTACTGCTGCTCAAATGAAATAAGAAAACCACCTTTTATGTCTTAAGAAAGTCCATTGCATTTCTAGAGTAATTTTACAGGTTTGATTAGTACTGTTTTTAGGGAGGTACATTGTAAAATGCAATTAACCCCACCTCAGATCATTGGGAGTTACTCATATCCCTTGATGACAGAATACAGTACCTGAAAGCCACAAATACATGAAACTCAGTGTGGCACTCTCCTGTGAGCTGCAGTAAACTCAGAACAGGAAAATTTCAAAAAACTCAAGTATAGAAAAACTTGGAGATAAATTCCTTTCAGGTCTCTCTGCCAGTGTTTCTTTATGTTCCAGTGCCATCTGGTGAAACAAGAAAGTAAATTTTATGGCAGCTCAGTATTTCTGTAGTTGACTTTTGCAGTGTGCTGAATGTGCAGAGCTGTCAGGATTACCATCGTCAACGGTTTCTGTGCATTTCTTTCTAATGTGTATGCGTTTCTGACACACCCAAGTACCAGTCACTAACGTTTCATTAATTGTACCCACTATACAGCCCACTGTAATAGGAAGTCATCTTTTCTTGCATAATGTAGTAAAATGTGTGCACAGGTAAGCGCTCCAAAAATCAATAAAGACACAGAGGATTTTGAAGACTTTTTCTTAACGTTAACAAGCTGTAATTATGTCTCTGGAAAAGCATCCCTGACATTGCTCCCCAAGGTGTTAGTGGGAATAGCTATTGTAGATGTGTGGTGGTAAGTAGGGCTGTTATTGGTTTCCTGGGAATATGAGATGGGTATCATGGCCGTAATAGGACAGCAGATGGTTTTGTTGAAGCAGTGTTTTCAGTCCTACAAGACCAAAATGGAGAAGCAGCAGGTGACACAACAACCACAATCATCAGAGCATACATGTCTGTGAAGGGATATGCAAGCAGAGCATCCTTTCTCTCATCACCCCTGCAAAGGCACTGACCAGAAGCAGGGTTTGTGACAGTCTTTTCTGTAAGCTCTGTTCCATATTGGTACAAAGCCAGTGCTCTCCAGTGTTTATTGGAACAAGGACATAAATAGCATATGGCTATTTCCTACTGCAATGTACTGATGAAGGGAGATCAGCAGGGTTTTTAAATGGAGTTTGCAATTTGATTTTGGATGTAATAGATTCTTTCTGTACAGCTGACCTTAAAAGTGCCTTTATATCCATACAAACATAGCAACTTTGCAGGAGCCTTCATTTTGATGCTTGTCTTAAAATCCAGTCTCTTGTTTCTTTTGGTTTCTGTGGTAAACTGTTTATCAGTCCTTCCTTTCAGCTGTGTTTTGTTCTACATTCCAGGCACAGCTGATAGCTCAGTCCATTGGTCAGGCTTTCAGTGTGGCTTACCAAGAGTTTTTAAGAGCCAATGGAATTAACCCAGAGGATCTCAGTCAGAAAGAATACAGTGACATCATCAATACCCAAGAGATGTACAATGATGACCTCATACACTTTTCCAATTCAGAAAACTGCAAAGAGGTAAACTAGTTTTGCAATTGCATTTCAGATGGATCATTTTTTTTCAAAGGAATATATTTCTCATGGAAATATAGCATTTTAAGGATGACTTGACATCTCAAGATGTGTTGCTTCATCAATACTGTGCTACTAAAATCAGCTTTATTAGTTTTTAGAATTGGTTCTTTACATTTTCTGGGTGTTTCTGCTTCCATTTGTCAGAACAATAATGAAGTACATTTGCATCTGATATAGATAAGCTCTGTGCTATTCACAGTACATAGTGTAAGATGCTTTTATATTTTATCAATGTATTGATACAGAAAGAGAGTTGACAGTCATTTTACTGCATGCTGTGACTTCTACTTAATGGATACCAGGACCATGAGTCCAGGACAATTTCTCTTCGCCTGTTAGAATGCCAGCAAAACTGTCACATGAAATGGAGTTTCACGCTCAGAATTCATGAAGAGGCATGAATTTCCCTTAAGTGCCCCACATTACATAAGTCTATTTACATTTGATTGTGGATTTAATGGATTCTTTCTGTTCAACAGCCATATATATCACAGTTCCCATTTCATCCAAAAGTCACTGCCATACTGGGCATTCCAAACCAGAATGCAGCAAGTGCAGTTGCACCCCAATTCTGCTCTGTCTTCTATTGCTGCAGTGCAATAAGGAGGGATTTGGCCTATCTTCCAAAGGTCAGAGTCCCTGTACTGTGAGTCCTAAAGCAGTCTCACTTTGAGATGAACTGCAGTTTCCTACTTACGCTCCTTTCTTCTGGCACTACAGGCCACTGTACACTACATGTACGGCATGTGTAATCTTGGGAAGACAGCATTTTTCACCTATACCTGCAGATAGAAAGGTGGTGATTTGATGTGTAGTTTTATATGTCTGCAGTCACTAGAGATCAATAAAGTATCTTCATGTGCATATAAGCACAACAAAATATCAAACAAGGGAAACTGCAGATGAACAAATCATGGTTTAACTTGGAATCGGAACAGAAAAATACAAATGTGTCACATTTCAAAGTGTGATCACTTTTGTGGCACTTTGCTCCTAATTTGTTTAGGAACGTTTGAACAATGAGTTGTGGCATATAGCTTGGTTCAGAGTCTTAATAGTTAGTTCCAACAAAAGTTGGAACTTTATGATTCCTGGCCTTTATGATTCCTGTAAGTACAGATGTCCCTGTCCTTCCACATCTGAAAGGAAATCATTCCCAGTATTTCATTAAGGAGTCTGTTCTCTACTTAAACTCTTACTCCTTTTCTGTAAAAGAAATGCTGTGATTACTGAACTGTTAACATCACCATATTTGAGAAGTCGTCCTTTACAGTGCATCAGCACATCAGGGATCTTAGATTAACATGCCAGTCACAAATATATTGAATAGCATTATTAATAATAATAACATTAATAACATCAACAATAACAAACAAGAGATCCTTGCCTGAAAACAAGGACAGGCAAACCCTGAGATCAAGAACCTGAGCAGTGATGGCAGAAGTGGAGCTGAACTCAAGCCTGTGTTCCAGGCCTTGCCCTAGCCACAAAATGTTGCAGCCTTCCCTGTCAGCCAGGTTGCAAGAAGCATGCAAGCTTCTTTAGCATGCATTTGTTCATTTGGTGTTCAGTTCTGCTACTTCCTACAGCATTAACCAATGTGTTAGTTTCATGCTTATTATAAAGACCTATACAAACACCAACAAACAAGTGGAGCATACTCATGAAAAGAAATGGGTACTTGTTACACAGTTTTAAGAGTGCTTTTGAAGTCATGCTGCTACCTAATGGCAAAGAATAGAATTCTTTTTGTAATGGCTAGGTGTTGTTCAGAGCAACCAAGATAATAGTGCTCAAATTTAGACAAATCTGAACAAAAACCATTTGCTTTTTTTCTTTTTAATTGCAGCTCCAGCTAGAAAAACAGAAGGGAGAAATTCTTGGGGTGGTGATTGTGGAATCTGGATGGGGATCCATTCTACCCACCGTTATCCTGGCTAATATGATGAACGGAGGCCCTGCAGCCCGTTCAGGGAAACTAAGCATTGGAGACCAAATTATGTCCATTAATGGGACCAGTTTAGTTGGTCTACCTCTTGCAACATGCCAAGGGATCATAAAGGTACCCCAGACTTACAAATGTATGTGCTTTAGATTGTATGCCAGCAGAGAGGTAATATTCTGCCAAGTGATCGTGTACATTACCAGCAGATATGAATTTTCATATCACTGGGGGGAAAAAAAAAAAAAAAGGTAATCTGTCATTAACAAAAAGTGAAATTTGAAAGAGAGATTCAGGGGTGATAATGTACAGAAATTTAGGGTTGGAGAATTTGACTGCATCTTTGTCACCAGACTTGCAACTTCTAACAAACGAGGCTATTTTATGTCTGAAAAACTTGCATAAATTAAGTTAGTTAACTATCTTTAAAGTCTCAGGCTTCCCCACAGCCTCCAAACAAAATCCTGAAGATGACAATCTACTGTGCTACTTTGGGTTCCATATAGATGAAATACATGGAGGCTGTAGACTTCAGGACAGATCAAGTGAGTGTATGGATTCCCCAGACAGCACAGAATCTCAGAACGCACAGTCTTTAATGACTGAGACTAAACCTAATGTCTGTGCAGATTTGCCAGCAGTAGCAGCAGATCAATTAGCCAGATACTAGTAAAGAGCAAGCAGTAGTCAGTTTTGTTTTTTCTTGAAAACTTTCTTGAGGTTTCTACAGTAATTAAAGGCAGAGTTCTGATCTGTTTTGTTGGGCCATGTAGCTTGGGAGATAAATGAAAGAGAAACAGATCTCTATGATAACAAGAGATTTCTGTTAAGTCTAGCTGTTCTTTCTCAGATCAGCTGCTTTGCACTCTTGCAATTAGGAAACCACTAATGAAAGAGCAAATTAAGATCCATTTCAGAAATACTAACTTTTGGAATATCTTACAGGGTCTCAAGAATCAGATGCAAGTAAAGCTGAACATTGTCAGTTGTCCTCCTGTTACTACTGTCCTCATAAAACGGCCAGACTTAAAATACCAACTGGGCTTCAGTGTACAGAATGGAATTGTAAGTTTCAATGTTCAGTCACTGTTTGGGTTTTTTCTTTTTTTTCTTTCAAAAAAAGCACAGAAGTACTGAAAAAATCCTTGCATATGACCTCACTTTTTATACTGTGATCCCTTAATTAATCAAAACCTTACAGTCACATCTCTGAATAATCTAACACAAATGGACATTACCAGGAGAAGTACTGCCATTCTTGAGGGATCTTCCCACGTAACACAGCCACCAGGTGTATAGCCCAGATTGCTGGGTGCAATATCTGGATCAGCTAACTCATATATAACTTTTAGCAATTTTAGTCATTAGTGTGCCAGAGTTGCAAGGAAAACAGTTAACTGAAACAGATTTTCCCAGTTCTAACATTCTAATCTTCCCTCTGATGCTGGTTCTCTCTTAAATATGAGCACACACTCATTAAGACTTTTTCTTCTGCTCTGTGCAATCTGGATCACACAATAGCGTGCAAGGGAATGTACTTGTGACCTCCTCGAGTTAAAACTAAACACCTCTCACTACAGGTAATTGTATAGGTTGTGGCCCAGGTATGTCTTCTCTGCGTGCTGCAGTTTCCCTGTACTAACAGTAGCAAACAGGAGAATGAATGTGGCAGGTGACACTTACCTAGTGCAGATCAGGGTGGTCCTCTTGTATTCCTTCCTTCCCAAGCCATTCTCCTGTAACTTTCCAAAGCAAACTCCGAACACAACTAGCTCATGTAGTCACCTGGCCTTTCTGGTGGCCATTAACAGCGTTAGGGACTGTTTGTAGTGCAGGACCATCAACCATCTCCTCTTCCTCCAGCCCAGGAAAAAAAATAAATCAGACTGCCCACACAGAAAACCACCTCAGAAAGGACTGTGGGCTCTGGTCCCCTGTTCTGTGAAACTCATCGAATGAAGGGGCCAGATTTTTGTTTGCCACCCTTGGAAGAGTAGCAGGTAACAAACTATAGGATATGGTTTCTGCATCTCACTGTGCTTTAGCAAACAGGTGGCTCATTAGTAGATGTTCAGCTCTGCCAGCCACCTCTAAGTTATTACCATACTACTGTTTTTCCTACCTAAGATCACGGATCAGGTTGTGGTCGCAGCAGAGGTTGGTATGAAAGAACACCACTACAAGCCTTGATGCAGCTGGAAGTGCTCTGAAGTGATACCTACCCCAGGTTCATGTCATTTAGAAGCAGAGGTTTAAAGTACTTGTTGTGATGGGGATTAACACTCTGACACTTGAGTAGAGACAAGTCTGTAAAAAAATACAGAAAAATTAGGTGTGTGGTATATTTCTGCCCTCCTTTACCTATGCTTAATCCTCTTTCACCTTGTGTGTACATATATGTTAGGTGGGTATGCTTGTTGCTGGTAGTTCCCTCCCTGTTAGCAAATCCCAAGTCTCAGTCTAAAAAGGATGAAGGGGATGGGATCTGGTTTTACAACATCTCACAGAGGGTGCGGAGAAGAGCGTATAACACTGTATGAGGCATTGATTTATTTCCTAATTGCTATGCTTTTAAAATCTAGTATGTTCAGCTGGTGTTGCGATAAAAGAGGAAAATATATTTAAGGAACAATGAGAAATACTATAGCGTGTTTATCAGCTAACTCTTCTAGGAGGCCTGTCACAGCATCGGTGGGGGTCAGGGCTGGGGAAAAGAATCAAGTCAAGCAGCATGTCATGTCCTTACATGGACAGAGGCAGTTACCGCAGTCTGTGACACAGTCTATTCATCCTGTCCCAGCTACTCATCTCCTACATAGGTGGAGCCTTAGTTTAGTAAATTCTGCAGACTGTGGTCGTTTTCTTTCAGAGTGCTCACTCCATCTACTGGTCATTTGTCATGTTCATCACACTGGATGGCCATGATTCATTCTAGTTATGCAGGCAACATTTAGATGACATCCAGTATAAAGTGTACCAAAATCAGCACAAAAGTCCTTCTCCAAAAGCCAGAAAAGAAAGTCTTGCAATACATTTCAGTTATGAAGAGTCTGCGTTTCCGTATGAATGAAACCCAGCCAGTGAACCAAAAGGAGAGATGAACGTGTTTTTATGAGGCTGCTACGTGGATAAGCTTCTAGGCCTTTAAGTCTTTCCTCAGATAACTCCCTCTTCATTTAACATTTGAAAATACAGCTCTGCAAAGAAGGTCTCTCTAGTAGTTTGACACTGAACTTTTAAAAAGTGGTTTTGTAATTGGCAGCAAGTGTTACAAATCATGACAGTATTCAGAAGTAATATCCCTTGTTAGTTCAGCATTAGCACGGTGAAGAAATAAATGGCGTGCCAGAATGGGTATAATTAAACGTCTCCTGCTGCTGTGCCATCACCTCATTCTGCACTCCATTGTGTGCCCCTGCTGACAGCAGTTTGCAGGGTTCCCTTCCACCCTGCCTGTCCTGTCTGTGCAGGCAGTGCAGCTAGTGCACTAGTGAACAGCCCATAAGCAACCCAGGCGTACAGAAGCACCATCTGAGCTGGGCTTTGCCCACACAGGGTGTCAGGAAGATGCAGAGACTGGGCTGCTGCAGGTGACTGTTTTCTTTGTGTTATTTGCATAGTTCAGTTAATGCAAAGCCTGAAGTTGTGCTTCATGGTGTACTAGTGCCATATTTTAGAAGTTTTAGTTAGGGAACCACACGACAGTATATATCTGAGCTTTAATTTTGCAAAATTCCTCGTGCATGAATGATGCCAGTGCTCTTCATGGCTCTTGAAAGCTACTGGTGTAATTTCATTGCATGCTTACAAAAGGAATCTAAAATTTGAATCGTAAAACATTAAGAAAAAGAAGAAACACTGTGCATACATATAAAACAAGTGTGAATGTTGTGTGGTGAGGAGGCAGCCACAGAGTGACCTGTCAGCCACCTTCAGAAAATCATTATGCTATGCTTTTTTTAAAATTATGACATTTAAATACAAGTGGTCCCCTCATACCACATTGCTGTAGTTTCCTACATTATGAAAAATCTGTGTATTAACAGCTGTGTTTTCACTGCTGATAATTCATCAGTTCTCAGTCTAGATCGCAGACACTTTCTCTGAGAAGTGTATCTACCCCATCCCTAGCCTAGCACAATTCTACCTAAAAATACACTAGGTAAAACTTAACAGAACAGTTTATTCTTTCCTCCTTGCCTTTGTTTATTTAAGCTGTCTAGGCAAAAAATGCACAGGGTTTAAATAGAGTAATATAGGAGTGAGATGAGGAGAAGCCTGGTTTAGCAGGTTATGTTTAAGGCAGTTAACACAGAATTGAGTTAGTCTTGCACTGTTCTGTCCTTCATGTTTTGCTACACAACAGGCAGTTGCAATAAAAGTGATGTGAAGCTGCTGAAGTTTCACACCTGATGCACTGCAGCTTACCTAAGAGTGTAGAATCCATAACAGCTGAATGGATTGAACCAGTATAGTTTACACCTTTTTTTTTTTTTTTTCCATTTTACACAGTAAATATAGGCTCCTGCTTACAAGAAGATGCAGATCCACCACACTTCATTTAATAATACTATGGCTGTTGCCACGTTCAACAAATACAGCAGGCTAAACTGCCTTGGCTGCATAGAATCATATTTAGGTAGTTGTGCTGCTCAGGTTACACTTGCCAGTCTCACTGGCCAAGGCTCCACTGGCTGGAGACAAAAGTCCTAGGCTGCTTTGAGTCAGCCACCCGCCAATACAGGAGGCATGTAACTGTGCTTTAAATACAACACAGTTCTTTACGTCTGCACTCTGTCTCTAGCTTAACAGAGTCTGTGAGGCTGGGCAGAGCCACTTGGGCTTGGGGTCTGTGTCTCCCTCATTAAAATAGTTAATGCTCACAAAAAGGAAGCTGACTTCCATTCCTGGAGAGGAATCACATTCTTGAATGAGAATAATGGACTGCTTCCTAGGTCTCAGACTGTTAGAAAGAAATTCACTGATGGTATTAAAGGTGCTTTGAGAGGCACACAGTGAAAGGTGCTCTGGAGAGATATGCAAGCCATTATCTTTCTTTATGCCAGTGGGGCGAGAGATCCACATTTCCACTTGCTCTGAAAGCTTTTACTTCAGCAGGCTGTACTGTCTCTGTATTTGCTTTTCTGCTGTGAAATATGTGTTTACAGGGTGCCTTAAGGCACATTCTGCTTTTTGTCCTTTCAGATTACTTCAGATTATTCTAGCAGTGAGTTGAATTGAGACGCTTTCTATAAAAGTGAAGATCTATGTAATACAGCTTATCTTGTCAGCTATATGATTAGAAGGTAGCCTACCTACCAAAAAATATAATCTATGTGACTTAAATTCATCACACAATTCTGTGAAGTTCCTGGTGCTGCCTTTATCCATGAAAGTCCATCAGAAATACTTCATGAACCACAGTAGGTAAAAATCAGCCACTAATGCTAGCGTGGTGGAAGATAACCCTTCCTACAGGGAGGAAGTTTCTTCTCAGAAGGCTGAGAAAGGCCTTCTATAAACAAACTATATCTTTTCACTCCCCATATCAGGCAACCTGAACTTTGAGTAAAAAGGGATTTATTTTTTTTTATAGCACTGTTATTTGTGAAGAGGAATTTAAAGGAAGCTGCTAGTGTCATACACAGACAGAACTCTAGTCAGCCACAGACAATGTTTCACCTTCAATGTATTCCATCTTGGCCGTCTCCCCACATTCTGTGTTTCTGAATTACAAACTCACAGTGACACATCATACTTACATTTAGCTCTGAGCAAATCACGAGATCTCAGAAGTAATAATTCTTGGCACGTGATTCAAGCCATTGACAGTAACTGCAGAAAGAGCTGTCACTGGATGCTCTAGCACTCATTCCGTGTCCTCCCAAGAACAGGTTTTTCTCAGTGAACAAAAGGTAAATCTCAGCACTGCTAAGCTCTGCTCAGTTCTGGAAAGTCAAGATACACGTTATCTGCTTTACGTGCTGCATGAGCTTAGTCGTCTGAGGTGATTTACCAACAATTCCTATGTAACATAGAGCTGTGTAGCCTGTCAGGGAGGGCCCTGTTGCAGCACAGATGCTGCATTCTTTTAAATCCCCCATACTGCATGGCTATTTTCCTTTCTGCCTCTGAACCATGCATCTGGCCACCTCAGAATGATTTCAGGTAGCAGTGTCTGCTGGAACTATGCCTGGGGAATGTAACTCTTCTTGTAGAATTATTCCTCTTATTGTAGGGGCATAAAAGTCAAAACTTGAGCCTACTTCTGTACTTGTACCTACAACTGCCAGGTGAAGCAGTGGCCTGACTTGCCTTCTTCATCCTAAGCTCCCTATGGCCAGCAGGACTCTAAAACATGAAGGGAAATTTTCCAACCTGCAGAGGTGCAGGAAACAAGTTGTTTATTCTTCACTACACTGAGAACAGCCTGTAAAAAGAAACAAAATTTGCACGTTTCATAGTCTCATAGAAGGGTTTGGGTTGAAGAGACCTTTAAAGATCATCTAGTCCAACCTCCCTGCTGCAGGCAGGGACATCATCCACTGGATCAGGCTGCTCAAAGCCCCATCCAGCATGACCTTGAACGTTTTCAGGGATGGGGCCTCCACAACTTCTCTGGTCAGCCTGTTCTAGTGCCTCACCACCCCCATTGTTAAAAATGTCTTCCTTAGATCTTTGAGGTCTTTTTATGTCTTTGAATATCTTTGTGACCTTTTTGCTAGATTGCTAGCTTTCATTATGACTGTATGGCACCATCCTTTCCTTCAACCTAAACCAGCCTTTTTTGCAGGGTTAAGGATTAAGTTTTATGTCAGTTTTTTTCCATGTATGTGAAAAAAAATTGCTGTTATAATTCATTTTTACTTTAGCACTTTTTACTTTTTTATTTCAGTATTCAGAAAGAAGAACGTGGTAGTTTGCAGAAAGAGTCTAGGTGGCACAGTCAGAAATACATAAAAATCACTTTTCCTATTCCAACAGTACGTAAAACTTCTCTCTTCCCCCTAACTCCACTTTCATATGGCTGCTACCTGTATCACTGTTGGGTATTGTTTGGTATATGTTCCCAACCCATATGAATGAAAATTTAAAAATTGTAATTTGCAGAAAATGTTGGGGGAAAACAAACAAAACAAAACAAAACCAGACCAACAATTAATAACTCACAGTATTACTTAGTAGTTTCCACAAGTACTTTCTGGAATCCTGATAGTGTCAGCACTTGTTATTATTTATTGCATTGAATTCTAGTAACTGCAACATTATGACATTTCTGAATTTTAATAAACTTCTCTTTCTCTTGGCAGATTTGCAGCTTGATGCGAGGTGGGATAGCTGAGAGGGGAGGGGTAAGAGTAGGACATCGTATTATTGAGATCAATGGACAAAGCGTTGTTGCTACTGCTCATGAGAAGATAGTACAAGCATTGTCTAATTCAGTGGGAGAGGTAAGAAAAATACTTTATCAAGGAATTAGCAAAAAAATATATTTCAGTTGAAAAGAGTGTCTTAACATTGTAGTAAAAGCACTACCTCAGTAAATTGGGCTTGAGCACTAATAACAAGCAATTAATGACATTGTTTGAACAGATGCACGTTCACTACATTTTTCTGCTCATTTTCAAGAGTTCCTGGCATGATTCTGAACTGTCAGCCCACTGGTTGAATTAAATCAATCAATTAAGTGAAAAGATTGCTTAAGCATGTTAGCTATGAAAATGTTTCCTGGCTTATCATTACATCATCTGCCACGGAAATAAATTGATATAAAAAAGGCTGAGAGATTCAAACAGATATGTATTTTAATAATTTCCGCTGAACATTTCCAACTTACCTTGGGAATAAGACAAGATGCGCCTCTCCAGCACTTTTAGAGAAATCGGCAACGAACGAACAAGATCCTCCCGTTTGCCAGAATCCCTACTGAATTTAGTGGTGTGTCATGCACAACCCTGGCCAGATCTTCCACTAGTTCCTTTTCAAAAATCAAAGATAACTTGTTTTCCTGTGGAAAATGATACGTGAAAAATAATACAAAGGACGTGCATGTTGCCGGGAACAAAGCTGTAGAGATCTGTAGAACTTCCATGCCTTTATGGTACCTCTTTGCTGCACAGATCTCACTAAACGTATGAGGACAGTATGAAATTTTGTTTTCAGCAAGAAGAGACGAAGGTATCAAGGCAGCATATGGCTGGTGTGGGTCTGTATTACCAGTTAGTAAAGTTTACCATCCTTCCTTTGGCGTCCTCCGATAGGTGCTTACAGCCGTTACTACGGTTTGGGCACAACTCTTGAATGCTGTCAGTCTGTAAAATCCTTCTGACACTTACCACAATACTCCTTGTAGACAGAACTTAAATACACTACCCATGAGAGAACCTGTTCCACCAAACTCTCAAACTGACATTTAAATATCGGGTGCTAAAAAAGTTTTCTGTTTAGAGAATGATACTCCAATTAGGAGAAAATATGTATGAAATGACACTCCCACAGAGAAGGAAGACACAAGAAAAAGTTAAGCTGAGCAAATGCCAGAACAGTGGAATGATTAACAGAAAGGATTGTGCTGCTGCTTTTTTAAGGACAGTAACTAGAGTAGGGTGTAACAGTAGAAAGTGTTTAGGTGTCTTTTTAAGCTATATGGTGTTAGATCCTGTCCTTGTCATTTAAAAAAAAAGCCCAAAACCAAACACTTAAAAAGCAAAGACAGCAAACCAAGCTTGTCAGAACCAGAGAGCTCTGAACTAGAAACTTCGGTAACATTCACATCTAGAGATGCACAGTGAATAGCCCAGGCAGTAAATGCACTTATACCACAGGGCAAGACAGACTGAGCCTTATGGGATATTTTAAACTATTTTAACAATTCTGTTAATTTCTGTGTAAATGAATTGACAGATTCACATGAAGACTATGCCAGCTGCCATGTTCAGGCTTCTAACTGGGCAAGAGACACCCCTATACATCTAGAATGCGACTCTTGCAGCAAAATAACTAAATGATTCCATCACAGCTGAAGCCCTCGCAGCTGAAGAGGATTTTCTATTTTGTATGAATGAAAGGCTTTGAAGCTGACCCAAGGACCCCAGAACATGGAACAGAGAGGTGTCTCTGCCTTTTCTCTCCTTCCTTTTTATTTCTTTGCCAAACAGTGATGAGAAGGATGGTCAAGGACAATAATCACTGACCAAAAAATTTGTAAAACATTTAGGTATTTTGCAACATCTTCTGAACTCTTTTCTCATAAAACTTAAAGCGTATTTATTTGTAACCTTTATGTAGAGTGATGTATGTATGTCTGTCTTGTTTGATAACATGGTGAATGTGAATAGCTGATGAATGAGACTGCAGGATGTGGCAAAGGGAAGCAATTAGAGAAAGTTTGGCTGCCTCAAGTGGAAAAAAAAAAAAATCCCAGTCCCATGGAGTGGTCCCGTACCGATGGCTTTGCATAAGTTTAAAACTAGTGCTGAATAGATGGTATTTCAGTGGAAAGGAATGTGTGCTGTTCAAACTTTTAGATTCTGATGTAAAGAAAACCACTGTAGTACTTGGTATTGTTATGACAAGTGTAACCTGTTTGGCAAGGTGTGAACATAAACATGTAACAAGTGTTTCATATGCTAAATAAAGAATAATTGCCACAAGATTAAAATCAAAATATTTATTTAGATACATATTTATTTTTAATGCTTGTGATTTTTATGATTTAACAGAGTTATTTCATGGATAACTTATTGCACAGGTTGTGTAATGTATGTGTTGGGCTGGGTTTTTTTCCTTTAATTTTTGCATTTTGCTTTTTTGTTTGTATTAGCTCAAAATGGGAAAGCCATGCTTACCTGTTTCTGTCTTTTATAAAGCATTCCTATTCCTAAGGCAATGTGTTCTGACTGTAAATTGTTTTGGCAAATAACTTAGCACCATCAGTGGTATTAGAATGTGCGTAGATAAAAAAAAAAAACTAGTAGTAAATTTGTATTCCTTATGAGATAAATGTTAATTGGTGTAACTTCTCATCTAGATTTATTTTTTTTTCTTTTGGCCAAGGCCCTGAAGAAAATACACTGTGACTTAAGAAGCCTTACCATGCAGTAACTAAAGAGCTTTAGATGACTGTACTTCAAGGGGTAGTGTGTTGCATGCAACTGACCTTAGGAAAGAATTAACCTACTATCACTAATAAATCTGAAATAATAAAGGAAGCTTGCTTATTTTGTTTGTTGTGTAACTTTACGTAATAACTAGAAGATAATTTAATTCTTCATCTAAGTGCAGTTGCAAAGGTCACAGATTATTTTTTTAAAAGTAATTAATCTCTTGGATTAGGAACTTGTGTATCGTTATTATCTTGAGAGTAGATGCTTTCAATTACCGTACCTCGTTGCCACTGGATGTCACTGTAACTTCACATCAATACAGAAGCATGCTATAATTAAAATGCATTAAAATGGATGATTCTGTAAAATTTAAACTACCCATCTTCAGCTACATTCCTTTGTGACCTTTTCACAGGATGTCTGACAAGCTCAGAGTGACACAAATGAAACCAGTATATATGATTAAACCTCAAATGGAAACTAACACTACTGACAAGCACTGCTGCAAAAAATTTAAAACCCTGAAACGTCAACCTCTGGTAGGTTCTTTAAGAGAACCTTTTGTTTAGTATTTTTCCAAGTTCTTCTGAGAAAGCCAGGATGAAGCTTGCACCAGAAGATGTTGCTGGCAGACCTGTGCCCATGCTGGTAATTAGTGTTGATGAGATTATTTTTTTTTTTAAAGATCATAAATGCAGCAGAACCACAAGGACATGTTTTAGTAATACAGTTGTCAAAACTACTAATTGAAGTAGCAATAATTTTGCAAAAACGTTCAAGGCTCTGCTAGATAAAAATTCTTCTAAGTGCCTATCAGTTGGCATTTGTAGAAAGTTTGTGAAATATGCTTTTTGGAAATGCAGAATTTCCAAGAATTCTTTCCTAATGCATCTTTTGGTCACAGAAGTACTTAAACATCGGTTTTCAATAGCATATGCTACTCCACTATAAACTCTTGAGCATTCCAAAAAAAGCGAAACCAAACCACACTGCAGCCGTTACTGAAATCTAAAAGGCAACGTGTCAGGGGGGTTGGGGTGGGGGGTGGGAAACACCATTAACAGCACAGATCAGTTAGCCTGGTGTGAAAGCCACTGGAAAAATGGATCAGGAGCAGCACTGGATGTACGTGTGAATCACCTTTACATTTCTACCCAAATCACTTGCTGAAAAAGCAAAGTCCAGAAATACTTTTTATTAAAACACTGATCATAGTTAAAACACTTTGAGGTACATTAAATAAATACAACTTCTAAGTTGTACAGCCTGTGTCTGGCAGTTTTTCAATGCTTTTCAAGAAATGCGAGGCAGCATCCATACAGATTCTCTAAGTACAGTGAAATAAACGCATTTCTGGTTGGGAAAACGTTATGACTTTACTAATAAATCAGTTAAAATTCTGCAAAAATCAGGGCTGAAATTTACATTCAGAAAAACAGGTGTTCTCCTGCTGTTGGAAAAAAGTGGAATTCCAAAGGAAGACACTTTTTCCTTTTTAAGTCATCCACTATTTGTATTCCTCCCAGTCCTGGTTTCTTCCTTAATTTTCTTTGCTGGAATCACATACCTGCGAATATTATCAAAGGATGGTCTCCCGGCAAACTCCAATTAAACTGTGAGGCCTGTCCCGCTCCAAACTGCGAGTGGTATGGGACCTCCGTAAGAAGGCAACTGGAGAGCTTAAAGCACCACAGCTCTGAAGATGAAGATCTTGAAGTCGCTTCCTAGAGGTATTCACATTCTGCTGGGAACTTGTAATTACCTGTTTTTTAAAAGGGCAGCAACAGAGAAGGAAAAAATGGGAAAAACAGGGTAAGAAATGTTTTCATTTAGAAGGCTCCGTTCAGGAGTATTATGTCATTCAAGTTACCCACTGGTGAAACTCCCTCTCCCAGAGGAGACGTGCGTGTCTGCAGCCATCCAGTCACCTTCCCTCCCTCCCTCCCGCCAAGCGGGCAGGGCCGGTACCGGCTGCGGGAGGTGCAGGCCTGGCAGGCATTGGGCGCGCGCCCCGTGCTGCAGCACGCGAGCAAGAGGCGCAAGCATTTGTTTCTCTCTACAGGAGTGAAAGGAAACCGGTGCAAAAGGCAGCAGCTCTGCCTTCTAACAGACAAATACAACCTGGGAGCAAATCAAACTCATCTGTTTCTTTAAGGAGGAAGAGATGCTTCACTAGCTTTGCTGAGGGTGGAAGAGAACTAAAATCTTGCAAGCCAGGGAAACAAACATTTTGGTGTTAATAGAACTGTCAAGCTACTTCACAAATCTGAATTACACCACTGTTTTACCAAAAGTTCTGTGGCTTCTTAAGTAGATTGCTGGGATGCCCTGGACTTTCACTAATTAATAATGTGATTTTGGTCTGAAAAAATAACTACTAAAATTATTTATTTAGTGTGAAAATGAACGTCTCCCTAGCTCAAAGAAATGCACACGGTTGGGCCACGGGTTTCGGGTTTTATGACCTACATAAACACTCCGATTTTTTTATACTTTTGTTTTGTGAGCATCTATGTTCTTTTAATTTGAAGAAAACTATTTTCAGCTTTCTAATCTTGAGGATTTAGTGGCCTATCCATTTTACTAAGCAATAAAATTGTTAGCACTGAATGTCATACTGACACTCTTAAGTATGTCACGATAGTACTGCTTTTCTAACCATGTCACTACAGAGATAACTGATACGGTGCTACTTCTTTGTTCTACTTCCTAAGTAGCAAGCTCCACCTTGCAACAAGCTGTAGTAAATGCTGGATGTTTCCTGCTCCCCATCAAACTATCTCACATGCTGTTTAAGTGTTATTACATCCTATTTTAACACTTGACCAGCTTTCCCTCACTCAGGGATCAGCAGACTATTACCATAGAAATTACAGTATCGCAGAAGAGGGGAAACAGCCCCAAGTGCATGTCCTCAAGCATCTGTCCAGCTCTGTGGAAACTCTCCAGGCAACCTGAATGTGGTGAGTCAGTGCTAAGAGCATGTTTCAAATCTGACAACATAAAAGGAACTTCGCTTCTAAAGCTATCATTCTGGCAACCATACTACCAAGAGGTGATTCATAACCCTTCTTCCTGCAAAAAAAGATGATTCATTAAACATACATTAGATACTGAAAGTTGCTGCCACCACTAATTCCCTTGTTTCATAGGATTCCTTCCAAGCCTTGTGTCTGTTCCGTTCTCAGCGCAAGGTGAGAAGATGCATTATTCCTTCATTTGGAAAAGCACAGCTTTTCAATTCTTTTGCTTAAAAATAGCAAGGGCCATTCTAGCCAGGAGCCAGGGTAACTGCACTGTTCTGTTTTGATAGATTGTGGCTCTGCTTGTAGATCTATCCATTCCTTTCAGCTACTAGCTTATGCAGTACTGATACATTTGCCTGAAAAAAACCCAACATATCCAAGTCAGTTCTGTGTATCTCTGTATATAAACACAAATTCATGTATGGAACAATCACAGGTGCAGAAAGACACTGGAAATAGGAGAGGATAATTATCAATGTGTAAATCAGTTCCCTATGGATCTCCTAGGATATTACTGGGTCCAGCTGAAAAATTTTAAATGCATGAGTGCTTCAGTATAAAATACATTACTGCCTAATAAATAGAAATTATTTCTTACAAAAGCCATGTTGCTATAAGAGAACTTTCGTAGGAATTGTCTGAATTACTTAATACTGTAAAAACACTTAAATAGAGTTTTTGTCTATCACAACTGAACAAATCCTTAGAACATAAACGGCCTACCTGGTCTATAATATTGGCACTGAAGATGGCTTCTTCCATGTGTCTCTCATCAGATTTTATTACTGATCGTATGCTGTTCACTACATGACGGACTTCTGGAGGGAGATTACAGTTTGAATGTTCCAAAAATTTTGCCACTAAAATTTTTGTGTCTTTATAGGCCTTAAGGTCCACTAAAGAGTGTGGTCGTTCTTTTGAGACTGTGTGCAAAGCTTTTGGCTTTAGGTGTAGATCAGTTTTCCTTGTATCCCTCTGGTTTCCAGGTGGTAAGAAACTGCTCAAAGAATGCTGACAAGCAGAGGCAGCCATATGAGAACCAGAAACAGGAACTAAAAAAGGGGGGGAAGAATATCTTTAAAGTAATAGTTTAAAAAAAAAGAAGAAAAAAAAAAAAAAAAACACAAAAGGAAAAAAAAAGCAAAACAAATATTGTCACAAAAGCTTTTTGTCATAAAATGTCTGTTTTGTCTGAAGAATAACAAAAAACATGCAATCAAGGAAACACTGCAAAATGAGTAATTTTAACCAGGGGTCAGTTGTAAGACTCTTCCCTGTAAGCAAGAAGGACTGCATTTAGGATGAGCGTGTAAGTAATTAAAGTACTTCATAAAGCACAGACATTTTTGTTCCCTCTACTTTCAGGGACTTCAGGTGACATTAAAGATAAGTGGAAACACCAGCTACTCAGTTTTACATATGAGACTTGTAAGGCTTTAGGCCCAGGACCTCCCCCTTACACTTCAAGGATAAAGTTCAGTTTATTTCTAGGCCTCAAAAATTATAAGCAGTGAGTAACAAAAGGGAGATTAGTAAGAAATATAGAGAAAGCAAAAATGCTAAACTAAAGCAGAGGACTTAACTCCCAGCATTTCTTTTCAAAGGCTGGTTCTGTCAGCACTGTGCATCATACACACATGCTGTAGGTGACTTTTCTGCCCCACATTTCTAGAGCTGGTTTCTCAGTCAGAAGCCTTTCATTATTTGTAAAACAAAACCCATATGATGCTGCTTTAGAAAACTGATCCTCACCTGTTTCTAGTGTAGCTGGAGATAGTTCTGCATCTTCATGCTGACTACATATAGGAGTCCAGGCACAATTATCACCTTAAACCAGAGTGACAGAAAAACCACAATCAACTCCTGCTAGCCTCTGCCCAAAGCAAGGAAAAATACACAGAAATCTTTTATTATTTCCTTTACAGAACCAACTACTTAGAAGAAATACTACTTCCAAGATATCCATTCATAAAGAGAAACTACTATATACAGATAGGTCCTACAAGCTGTTAAAGAAATACAATAGAAACAATTCCTCCTGCTTGGTGGTCTCCCCTGTTACACAGCCATCAAATCCTA